TAGGTTATTTTGCCTGAAAGTATTTAGAGGTTTTGATTCCTGCAGAAAGATAAAAATGAAAATTTCACAATTAGACCTGGGTTTATTTCCAGCCTCTTAACATACCTGCTGGAGCCAAGTGGAAGAAACCTGATGCTTATGTATGCCAGACCAAACAGCTGGTCTCCCCAAGGAAGTAGATTAGTAGAAGGATCACACTACACAGCTCATGGCAGAAAAACTCTCTATAAAGCCTCCTACTTTTTATATTCTGCTAAAATAGCCAGCAGAGGGAAGGACAGAGAGATGGTGCATAGTATAATACCAGATTGCAGGGAGTGAGAATGACAGCCTACATCTACCAATGATAAAAATGAATGCCTTCTGGACAGCTATGAGGTGCAATACAGGAAATAGTTTCCGTCAGCCAAGTCTAATCTTCCCCAAATCAGGTCGTCAAAGATTAATATTATGACTTGCATGGTTTCTATATTGATAGGAGCACTTTCAATTTTTCAAGAAATATTACAACATATAATTCATGCCTTGAATCAGTTCTCCTCCTGAAAAGTATTTGCTAGCTCTATTTAGACATTCTAAAATAATTTTTGTTTTGGCCGTACTGGGTTTTGAACTCAGATCCTTGAGCTTGCTCCACAGGTGCTCTACCACTTAAGCCACACCCCAAATCTCTATCTAGATACTCTAAACAAGGAAGAATTGCTACTGAATTCAACTAGATCAGGAGTTCATGCTTAGCAAGGGCTCATACATCTTGGTTTAACTTCAAGTTCAACATGTCAATGAATTCTAGTAATAGCCTCCCCAAAAAACATGGCCTCTCAGGAGACAAATCGTTGATATATCTAAAGCATTCTTTTTCCAAAGTCCATTGTCTAAAGAAGAAAGGGATAAACAAGCAGAAGGAAAACTGATTCTGGTTCAAATAAACATTTTCATTATCCCAACTACTTTAACTTCATAGAGGACATTCTTGCATTGTCTTCATGGTTCCTGGTCTTCTGTTTGATCAGTAAATATGCCTGAAGTCTTCCCCTTTTAACTCATTCAAAGTGGATGCAACCTGGCATCAGTCATTCATACACACATAAAAGCTCACAGCTCAAATCCTGTTACTCATTTCATGATTCTTTTTCTTAAAGTGGTCGAGGCCAAGATTTTAAAAAGTTGCTGAAAGCAACATTTGAATCTGACTCACCAAAAGTGGACTGCTTATTCTAAATGTGGGTTGATTAGAGGAAGGTAAGAAAAGTGGGCATTAAGCCAAGCATTCAACAGTTACCATCTGACTCCTTATCCCTTCCTCATACTCTGATTAGGATCAAAGAGTAACTGCGTATAAACTCTGAAAAGTCTAAGGGGATGTCACATATGAGAGAAGGAGGGTAATTAAGAAGGTGAATATGGTTGATGTACTTCTTATAGAAGAGTGAATACAGAATTTTAAACCTGTTGAAATCAACATAAGAAGGGGACTAAAGAAGAAAGGAGAAAAATAGAGGGGATGAACCAATTTGGGTTACAATACATGTACACATGGAAATGTCACAATGAAACACTCCATATAGCTATCTTAAACAAACAAAAATGCCTTTTTTTTTTTTCAAAAACAGAGAATAGGAAGCAAAGCAGATCTTGTCTGAGGGGTTGGTACCAGTGGGAGGGGGAGGATATAAAGAAAAGGTGTAGGAGAGTGAGTATGGTACAAATATTATGTACTCATATATGTAAATGAAAAAAATGAGACCTGTTGAAACTATTCCAGGAACAGGGGTTGGAAGGGGTGAACTCAACTATGATATATTATAAGAACTTTTGTAAATCACAATGTACCCCCAGTACAATTAATAATAAAAGAAAAAAAACTGTGAAAAGAGAACCCAGAAATAGCAATAACTCAATACCTACAATGGTGCTTCTTGGTTTCAAAGAGGGTTGTTTTTTAATTTTTAAAGGTTGTGCCCATAGGTTCTTCACAGGTGCTTTGGGGAAATGATCTCATAATGAACCAGTTAGAACTCAGTATCTTAATGGTGACAAAAAGCATCAGACAGGGTGCACAGGTACAACTTAAAGCTCAGTTCCTCCGAATGAGCCTGGCTTTACTAGAAGAACCACTCTCTCAATCTTGCTGTAGAGTAAACCTAATGAATGTGACATTTACCCTGTGATCAAAACTCTTATGAAACAGTTCTATCGAACTTTTCTGTATTTGTCCACGTTGTGGTAGAGTTCTCTGACATTAGACAATTCTACCAGGTTATCAGTGATCATTGCAGTTATTTTTTTTTTATGTTGACTTGTCCATAGCCTCACTTCTTTCATTTGAATCTAGAAATCTCTAAGCTACTGATTTTCAATAGAAGACACCCATCAGAGGTAAAATCCCTTGTGGAATTTAAGAAGTCTGTTCTATCTGACTCAAAGAGCTCCATTCTCAAATATAATACTGTAGACAAAATGTTAGTTTTATAATGGATTGCCCCAATTATATCTTGGCTAAAAAGAAAACAGATTGTCTATGGAGCTTAATTAAAATACAGATGTCTAGGACCTTTTCCAGGCTTAATGCATCTTTTTACTTGATGTTCTTGTATTGTCTTTTATGAGTATTATGATATATAGTAAGGTTTTGTTCTCTGTAGAAAAATCAGAAGAAATACTCCCTGACTTCTTTGAAAATAGGCTTAGTCATTATCCTTCAAGACATTCTGTATAATTTGGAGGGAATGATTTTATTATCTTGTTTTGCATGCCACATTATGCATTATTTCCTATCATGAATGCTCATATCTTTCACATTTAAAAATTATTGGTAGTAAGTTAATAACAGCCATTTCAGTCACCTACGGATAATTTTGATTTCCTCCAATGCTTACTTGAGATTTTACTCAGCTTCAGGCCCGTGGTTGTGTCCTTGACAAAGAAGAATATTAAGAGCCCCATGGTAAAGACCAGATACTTTAAACAACTGACACTTCAAAGAAAAGGACAGAGATCTGAGGACGCCTGTGGGCTGAGGCAAGATTTGCAGAACTTTAGTGAAGAAGCAGATGGTCTAGGATACCACTAACCCAAACCAAGAGGAACAAGAATTAATTACATAAGAATGGATGAACCTATAAGGGAAGTTTTCTTATAGTTACTTGTTTAGTATATCATTGATTTAATGTTCTATTTTCCGAAAATATAGGAGTCCTCTCTCTAGTTCAACTACCTGTAACCATGACAATTTAGTTCACATTGCTTATGTAAACTATAATATGTAAACTCACTTAATGAGTTCAAAAATTCATACCAAGGATCCTTACTGCTTCATAGCAATAGCAATAGGGCTATTTGAATGTATTCTATACTAATCTGTTCTTTTAACCAGCATATAATTGGGGAAATCCATTATGCAACCAACATCTGACCTACAATTTATATTTGAGAATGACGCTCACTGAATCAGATATAACAGGCCAATTAAATTCCACTGGGAATTTTACCTTCAGTCCAGGATTACAATGCTGTATTATGAGCAAAGACCATACAAGCATGTCTCTTCTCTAACCTTCCTGTGAATGAACACAGGCTAGGAATTACATGCCCTATTGACATGAATTTACAAGTGATAACTGTATAGTCTGTGAGGCCAGCTACAGGATGACAAGAAAAAGGAAACTTTTAGGAGAGATGGACGGTCACAACCAAAGCCCACCAAGTCACAGGAGACCCATGGTAGGAGATGCAAGGTCTAGCCTCCCTGGGATAAATGAAACTTTGGGAGAGCCATTTAGGAATCTGTGCCTCCCCAACACAACTCTCCTCAAACGGCCAGATGCTAGGGTCTACAAACAAAAAAGGTTGAAAAAATAGTCAGAGTCTCAGCTTATCATCACCCAATGGTATTTTACTCTTACTTCTCTTCACAGTGAACACTGTACATAGTTTAAGATAATAGCAACACAGCTTCAAAAATGCAGAGGGCATTTACATCTCTCTGCAAAATTTACTAAGAGGTCACAGTGTCAAGGAAGAAGGGAAATAAAAACCACAAAGGCACATAACAAAATTACAAGGTCAAATAACCTGCCCAAAGTTCTAACAGGAAGATCACCTGATGCCCATTTGCTAAATAGGACTGGACTTAAAATTCCTACATAATTAACCTAGTACACTTAGAGCCTCCTGAATTATTTTTAAGGTTATTATCTAAAAGTTAACAAAAAAAGCAAAACTAGCATTTATGGGCCATCTGTGTTTCAAAAACTATGTTAGGTGCAATACAAGTATAATATCAATGTTGAGAATATTAACTTCTTAGTGAGATTAAAGTAGATTATATTCATTTAATCTCTTTTAAAAGCACCATGAATTATATAAGGGACTTTTAGATTTTTTTTAAGTCATATTCTTTGTTGTAATACTAGACAAGGAGAAACAATTTTAAAAATTTATAAAATGTCAGCCAGGATTTGTAATGCTAGCACTAGCAGGCTATGGAAAGAGGATCATAAATTCAAGGCCACCCTGGGCTATGTAGTAAGACCTGTCTCCAAAACAAATTATATAATATCAATTTATTACCAGAATCTTATTGGAAAGATGCTGAATTCATACTTACTGACCACAAGCACATGCAAATACACATACACGCCTGAGTGTTATTCAAAGCTGCTAAAGTGTAGCCTAAGAAGGGCTCTGGGTCAAACAGGGAGTTCTGATTTGGGGGCAAGAGCTACATTGTTCTAAATGAATCTTCATTAAGAGATCCAACTCCTCTCTTCCCCACCGAAGGAGCGTAACTTCCCCTTTTAATCAAAGACCAGTATTTAGAAATGCCAGTTTGGAGGGCACTAAATGATCAGTTTGACCAGAGCAGCCAGTTGCTCATGAGAGCATCCGTGGGATGCGAGCTGGTGGTCTACGCCTCCAGCAGAGTGATGCAGAATGTGCCCTCGCTTGAGAATTCTCAGCACTCTTCTTGGCCAAGGCCGGGGCACCCGCAGCCATACCTGGCTCTCTCCGTGGTTCCTTCCGCTCTCAGCTCTGAAGATGGACTTGGGTTTCCGGGACTTGAAGTTGCCCATGCTGGGTCGCAACACACCATCCACCAGCAGGGTCTGCTCTACATGCTGTCGCGCCTCGCGGGCGGGCACCACCTGCTCCTCTACGCGAGCCCCCGCATCCGGGTAATTCTCTTTATCTTCATCTCTACAAAGGAGAAACTAAACTGAGAAATTCCAAAAACTGAATAAACCTATGCAGAAAAGAGGGGCTGACAATCTTATAGGGTACCTAGCAGATTTTTTAGCCTCAGCTTAGTCAATTTTACAGAAACAAGAACTTAAGCCAATGTGAATTTCACTTTTTATCACACTCCACCTTCCCTTCCAATCTTTGTGAGTGGATACATGGCTTGTAGTAGTCTCTATGTACATACCATCATTATTTGTTTTTAACTTTCACTTTAATATGTGTATCCCACTTTCACAATAATAATGTGAGATATTTAGGTTAGCCATTATAATCCTAAATTTATAGATAAACACTCTAAAATGTCGAGATTAAGTAACATGCCCTATAGAAGGACCAATTCACGCACACCCAGAGTGGTTGGGCAGAGCTCCAGTGTCTCATTCCTATTTTCTTGGTTTCAGGCATGATGCTTTCTCTTCACTGGCAATGTCAGTTTATAATCATCTCCCTGCATTTTTCAGAGGGATTTAAAAGTATGACAGGATTGTTTTGATAGGGTGCAAGTCACCTGGATAAAATAGAATTCAAAGTACAATTTTACCTAACCAGGCCATCAGAACCACACCCTGAATATAGAGTCAAAGATTCAGGCACCTGAGTCCTATCACTGAATAGATGGTTACCTTAATACACTCAGTGCTCGGATGGCACCTGTACACTTCACTTCATGATCAAATTCCATAACTTAAACCTGTGTGCATTTTGTTTTTCATTTTACTAAGAATCAGGTGAACACTATGAATATAATGATAAATGGGGCCTTCTCATTATATGACCAATATTGAAAAAGTAGTTTTTTCAAGGATAGACTCATGAATAGACAGTGAATGATAGATTCATTCCCAAAATAATACCTGAACTTTGTTTTTATACCCTATTTCCAAGTCACTCAAATTTATAAATGTGATCATGACTTGGAAGGCAAGGAAAAAAGTGCAGGAGCAAAAACACCTTTCTCCTGATACATAAGTGTAGAATCTGTTTACAAAGAGCATATTTAGAAATACATTTTAACATATTATTGTTTCCTCATGTTTCCCCAAACAGAATAATACAGGTTATGTGATTTATGCCTCTCCCTACTGTAATAAGTCTCAACTGGGAATGAGCATGGGGTCCTGAAAAGTGCAAGAGATCAAAAGATGCTTCCACTTATTACTTGTGTAGCCTGGACCACATACCTTCATCTCTATGATCCTTATCCATAAAGTGGATTGTGATCTACCTTGCAGAGAGAATACAGTCTCTGTGAATGCCTACCATAGAAAGCTGGCTCAAGGCCATAACTGAATAAATGAAAGCTATTGTCTCTCACAGGCAGAGCCTTTGTCAAGTGGTTATTTGCAAAAAAAAAAAAAAAAAATCCAAGGGTTCTGTTTAGTTTCCTCAATACCTCCAGGATAAATTCCAAACTTCTGGGCACACAAACCTTACAAAATCTGGTCTTTGTTTATCTCTAGAGATTCATTTCTTATCACCCCTTGCCTCCCTGCCTGGTTCTCAGGGTTCCTGTCATCCTGACCTCCTTGTTGTTCCTTCAATTCATACTATTCTCTCTGCCGTCGGCTTTCCAGTAAGCTGCTCCTTCGGTTTGGTGGCATCAAATCTTTCTTGGCCTTAGATCCACACACACTTACACAAAAAGTCTTGTGCAACATGTAATTCTCTTTAGGAACTTATCCCCAGAAACTTTTTTTGTCCTTCCAGGTGAATGCTTTGTTTACTTCTAGCATAATAACACAGAATGTACTTTGGCCTCTTCATCTATATTCTTGCCTGTCTCCTCCAGCAGATTGAATTCTTGGGAGCAGGTTAAGTTTGACTTCTCTATCCCAAATCCTTATCTGATTTCTGGCTTATAAAAAAGCCCTTCACCAAATGTTTGTTATTTTAGAACAGACTTGTAGAGTCACACAGGCCTGGGTCCTAATTCTGCCTTAGACCACTATGTTAGATGCTACAATACCACTGAGCCTCAGTTTTTCCATCTACAGGGTGGTAAGGAAAAATGTCAGTTTCCTTTCAGTTGCTTAGATTAAATAACAAACTGCACATAGATGTGCTTGGAACAAGGTAAATGTGGAAGAAATGGTTAATTTGGAAGGTATTGCCAAGGTAGCACGAGCCCCTGGATAATTGGGATCATATCTTAGATACTCAATAATATATTTGGTGAATAATCCAAAAATTATTCCTTAGGGTATATAACAGGAACATGGTTCAATTTAATAGGCACTTATTGACAATTCCCAGTATGTAAGGCACAGTCTTGTGTTCTCTAGGGGGAGTATCCGAAATTGAACAAGTTATAACTTCCCTCAAGGATGAAAATCAGGTAGAGAAGGTGAGACATGAAAACAAATAATTTAAATTTAAAGAAGAGACATGAGGCTCAGATGATTTCTGTCTCTTATAAATAAGGACCAAGTAATGGCAGGTCATACCTGAGACTGGAACAATCAGTCTGATCTTCATGTAGAGAGACTGTGTCTTCGTCACACCTGGGGAGAAAGGTACAAAGCATGTCATGTCCAACTAAACTGTCTGCTATAGCAGTAGCAGTCATGATTTAGAAGTAGCTCAAGATTAGCATGATAAATTAAAAAATGGAAATGAAAATTTATAAAATGGAACAATCCTTACCACTCTCACTCATACCAGCCCTGATTACCATCATAGCATGTAAGCTTCAAAGCTGAGAACGAGATGTCACCCCTCAACATCACGGTGTTCCATTTAAGCTAACAAGATCTCATCAAGGACCTAGGTCAACATAGGGACATCAGGCACCAAGAAGAGTGAGGTGGTGTTGGCTCAAAAGTCATTCCACTGTATGCCTTTTTGTATTTCCTACTTCATCAGCTAGTCCAGTGCCAAACCAAGCCAGCTTTTATTTGGCTTACCCCATTGGCCTTTGACTTTCTTGATCATGTGAAAAGGAGACAGTTGTTTTTCACAAAATTTTTGAAGTAACCTTGTGAAAAACTCTTGGTTCTCTAGTGCTTCACACTTCCTAGGGAAATCTGGAGTCCTTTCACTCTAGTGTAGGAGGGCGACTTTGTTATGTTCTCAGCCATACCCACCCTACCCCACCCCAGTCTGGAATGCTTTTATCATCTTCAATTCCTACTCATCTTTTATGCCCAAGTTAGGTCACAACAGTTCCAGGGACCTTTCAGCCAAGTTCACAGATATTACCATGTTCCTACTTCAACATTAATGAATAAATGTTTACTTTTCATTCTGAGGTTTTAGTAATCAATTATATCTTGCCTCACATTACTATATAATCTTTTGCACCTCTGAAGTCATTGAATTAGTCACTTATTTCATAAAATAGCAATAGAAATAAGTATACTTTATTTTTCTAGAGACACTGCCACTGTGACAAGCACAATGCTTGGGAGAATTGACACTGAAAAAATATCGAGTTTAGCTGGGCACTGGTGGCTTATACCTGTAATCCTAGCTACTTGAGAGGCTGAGATCAGGAGGATCAAGGTTCAAGGCCAGCCAGGGCAAATAGTTCACAAGACCTCATCTCCAAAATAACCAGAGCAAAATGGGCTGGAGTTGTGGCTTAAGCAGTAGAGCACCTGCTTTGCAAATTGGAAGACCTGAGCTCAAACCCCAGTCCCACCTAATACATACCTACATATATAATACTGTGGTAAAAATGTCCCATCAAGGGTGGGGGCAGGGGGGAGAAATGACCCAAGCCTTGTATGCACATATGAATAATAAAATTAAAAAAAAAATGTCCCATCAATGTCAGATTTCTATGAAATTTATTAGATGCTTACTCTCAATTTCTGTTCTTTTATGGATTTAGATAAGTTACAAACAAGTTAGATACCTACACTTTGAATAGCACTGCTTCTAAAGGACAAAAAATTTAGTGAGGATCTGGACCATGCTCCAAGAAATTCACAATGCCATAAGTAGACAAAAATAAATAAATAAATACCAACATATACAAATAGAGCCATAATACAGTGCTTGTACTATATTAAATGACTTAAAAATTTTTAAGTATTCTTTACTGGCAATGGTGTATAATTAACCCACAAATGAAATGAGGAAAGCTCTAGTTCTCTTCCTTTAATAATCACTTTTGAAATTATGGCTTATGTAGTGAGTTAAACAAAGGTACCTACAGACCCTAACTTTCTTTATCTGCTGAAATATTTTGCTCCTTCTGGCAAAAAATGAAAAGATCAGTTAACTTAACAAAATGCTTTTAACTAAATAATCCAAGCTTCCTTGCTGTCTCATGTTTTTGACTGCCAATAACCTACTCTGTCCATCTCATGGACAATTAAATTCCCAAGTATTGCGTTCTACTCCATCAGCAGCATTCACCCAATAGAGCATCTGGGCTTAATAATTTGAATAATAATGTTTTTCAATAGCAAAGTAGAAAAATCTACAAAGAATAGAAATCTAGGGCTGGGGCATGACTCAAGAAGAAAGAAGAAGAGAAGGAAAAGAAGGAGGGGAAGGAGGAAAAGGAGAAGATGAAGATGAAGAAGATGGAAGAGAAGGAGAAGGAGGAGGAGAGTAGTAGTCAGGAATTGTTGCTCCAAGGAATTGGGTTCAAACTAAGATTCAACCCTGGAGCTCAACAATACCAATTATTTGAGGATTTGTCAAGAACTTATTCTCCCCTCTTATTTGATGTACTAATCTTTCTTCTCAAAATATGATCAGTTGCAAATGGAAACTCAGTATGAAAACATACAAAGTTGCAGAGGCTTTTTGAAGCATAAGACCAGGTCAAATTAATGGATCCAATTTTAAAATCTCCTTAGCAACTCCAGTTGTCACCTGAGGAAACACAATTCCAAGATTCCAGATTCAGCAATTGAAATAAACCTCATTACTGGCTTACAAGGCATACATACAAGCTGTTCAAGTTTGGTGTTTTCAGCTACTTTAATAAAGGCCATCAGCTTCCACTCACTTAGCATCTCCTTTTTGTCATTTCCCAGGAGGGCCCTGCAAATGTACAATATAGGCCTAACTGTGAAAATAGATTCCACAGTGGGAATCCATACCCACATATGCCCATTCCAGGAAGACAGTCAACTCAGATCAAATGACCAACTGGTCTGGGGCATGGTATTCTCTTCCTACATTATAACTCTACACAAGAATTTAAAGACCAATGCTTTTCATGACCTCCCTCTTAGATACTCAAAACTGAGCATGGTCCTAATGCAATGATTTTCAAATTGGACCCTGTGACCTGTTTGTGGATTTTTAAATTGTGTAACAGCTACCAGCATGTTTTGTTAGTGTTAGAGTAGAAAATGTCAGTGAGGAAAGGGTTAATTGCTATCTCATGGAACTCATTTAAATTACATATATGAATCTGCACTGAATTGTAATACAGGATGTTTTTCTTATAGTTGTTCATAGTAAAAAAAAATATGAAAAATGTCTATTTAATGAGTTCCTTTGTAGTTCCCATAACAAGATCCTAAGTTCAAGATTCCTTAATTTGAGGTCTCTGAGATAATTATGGATAATTTGTCTTTGCAATCATTTTTTTAACTAAATGCTCAGCGTCATGACAGAGGGGCTTTTGCTCCCTCTGTCAAGCACAGCAAGAAAAAGGTATGTCGTACTTCCCAGTTCACTTGCTCTTTCATATCAACTCAAGTTATCCTGAGGTGAGGTAGGAATTACTGTCACACGGAGGCTCAGTTATTGCCCAAGACTGCAAGGCCTAAAGCAGTGGAGCCTGGGTTGTCTGTTCTAACACACTGAGTTCACAGGCAGGAGGCAAATAACCTCTTTAGCTGTGTTCTCAGAGGCTAATGGTAGCAGGAGAACATTTCTTCAAATAATGGTAGTGAAAGAAGTGTCCATGAGAAGTTCTCTTTTCTCACTAAATAGGAGGAAAGGCCTCAGATTGGCTGGCAGATAAAATATAGCCGTGCCAAAAAGGATTTACCATTCACCCTGTAGTACCATCTCTCCCGAAGGGAAAGTTGCAGAGGTGTGGACTTCCATGGGGTTTCACAAAGTGTAACTGCTGGACTCCTGAAATACCTGGTTAAAATGATCGGACTCCAGCCCTTAACCCACCTCAGCCCCACTACAACACCTCTCTTATGGAGGGGGCCTAGGAATGTAATTTTTTTTGGTAGTACTGGGTTTTGAGCTCAGGGCCTATCCCTGCAACTTGAATTATTATTATTTTTCAGATAGGGTCTTGAATTTTTGCCCCAGGCTATGATCCTCCTACCTCCACCTTCCCAGTAGCAGGGATTACAGGCATACACCACTTCACCCAGCTTGTTTTTGAGATAGGGTTTCACTAACTTTTTACCTAGGCTGGCCAGCCTCCACCTTCGATCCTCCCACCTCTGCCTCTGGAGTAGCTGGACTTACAGACATGGGCCACCATGACCAGCCCAGAAATTTTAAATTTTAAACCTGATTGTCCACCCACATAATGCAAGCTTCTAAAAATTTTCAACCTAAAGGTTTGCAAAACCAAGACCAGCTCTAGGCTGACTCTATAGAATAGTCATCTATTCTGAATGACTCTGTCACAATCACTGTGAGAGAAAATCTGGGAATCTATTATTTTTCATTGGCTGCTATCTCCTTCCTTAGTTGACAGTGCTGATGAGTTGCTTTTGAGAACCAATGCCTTGAAAAACTCATCAGAATTTTTGCAAGCTGGGCTTCATTTCAAATAGCAAGTTAGCCAGAGCAACATAGGAAATCACCATGAAATACAACAGATGAAAAGATGCCACAGATACAGAAGAACTTAAGGCCAAGGCTAGCCATTAACACGGTGAAATAATTTGGTTGGAAAAAGAAACCGAATTGGTCTTGAACTGCACAGATAATGTGAGAACTGGGGAAAATCAAGGAGAGAATAAAAGCTGTCCTTGAGTCCCTCCCAATTCCACTTCCCTTTGACTCTTATAAGATCCTCCATCAATTGTGGGACCCTGATAAAATAATATTAGTTTAGAATAGCTGACAAAATAATTTATATTAAAGAATTAATGACACTTGAATCCCCCTCCTAGGGGCACAAACTTTTAAATTTCTAGTTTAATAAGGGTCACTACCAGAGGCTTTAATCCAAAAGAAATCATCTCCAGGTAGAAATGGGGAAAGAGGGAAGAGGAACTTTTCTTATCTCTAAACCATGTAAGAGAAGAAAACGCCTCCTCAGTGCAGGCCAAGACTCACCCTAACATTTACTGCTGTGTCTGTGTTTTAGGACAGTGCCCCTGACCCTGTTGTTGAAGCAGTCAGGCTCAAAGAACCAAGAAACATGGCCCATATTATTGATGGGAGGGGAAATGGTTGCTTTCAATTGGCCCCAGTCTATGCTGTATTACATCTATGAAGCTTTTGGTATGTTGTCAATATGCTCCTTAGATCTCCTATTAACCAGACAGGATCCTAATTATCACTCAGAGTCTTTTAAAATAAACCACTGTCACTTCTCTGAAAGTAACAACATGATCTTATGCAATCAGAACTCCCTGGGGAATGTCCAAAGACAAAGCATCACACTCTCCCCAGCATCCAGCCATCAAACCTTTACCCAAAAACACATCCATGTGAAATCAGGAGCCACGTGTCTCTGTTTTGAAGCTGCTAGGCCTGTTGCTGATTCTGGGGATTCAATCACACAGGGCTCCCAAGAATCAGGCCCAGAAAACACTTATTGCTTGGAAACATACCAAAGGAGCAGAGAGGTACCTGTGCACCAGGACCAGAAAGGCCAGGCCTCATCTTTGGCCTACAGATTTTGACATACATCTCTCCTCTTCTTCCAGGATTTTAGAAAACCAAAATTGCAGGTGAGTTACTAGCAACCTCATTAAGGAGTATTTTATATTGCATCTTCTAAAGTCAACCCTGATTGTTCTTTTAAAGTGACTCTTCTTAAATGTACTCAAAGTCAGACACTAAGATAGTGGCAATCCAAACACAAAAACAGCAGAATGTGGGAAACTAAAGGGAGGCCCTGGGAAGCACTTTAAAAATCTCACCCTATCACCAAGTAATAACAGTGGTGAGACCTGAAACTCAAATGATACTTGTTTCTACATTTATTTGCTTTTTAGGGAACTTTATATAACGCAAACAGCTCTCTGGTTAGTTAGGGTTTCTGTATCAAACTTGAAACATTTTTTTTTTTTAATGTAGCTGAGTATACAACTTTACACACACCTTTTTCCTGAAAAGTTTTTCAGAGTGACTTCTACCAAAAGGTTCCAGAAGTAATCACCATGAATTCGCCTAGAGAAAGATTGCTAGATGAAGCATATATAGTTTGTACAAATATATACATACAAATTATATTAGCAAAGTATGCTACCTATTAATTTTTAATACTTATTGCATACTATTAGGAAAATGTACTAAGAAAGGGGTGACAATTAAAAACAACGAACTACAAATATCTAAATGAAACTATAAATATCTAATAAAAAAAATACCGCGGCTGCTGGCCTTGAGTAAAACATTGCGCCTCTTCATTTCATGTTTTAATAGTGTTAGTTGCCATAATCAAAAGCTTTCTCCATAGGACCGAATGACTCATTCCTCCTATAGTTACATCTTTGAGGTCAGAAGACAAAAATGACAAAGGGCATGCAAGAAAAGTTTACTCCACTGTGATTTTTTTTGTGTCTAAAAATCTGTAGACACAAGAGAGCAGAGACAAGTTTAGCCTGTTTATTACATGCTGGAATTAAACTCAAGTCATTACACATCCATCTCCAATTTGCGGCAACTGTATACAGCATGCACTCCATAAAAACCAGCACTAGTGTTGCCAAAATACAACCAAGCTCCCTCTCTGACATGTCAGGCTTAAAAAACAGAAAAAAGAAATCTGAGCTCCAGGAACACGTATATTGGAGTACTGGGCTCCCTGCAAGCAATCAGCTGGTTTTAATATCTCCCCTGCAGCTGCTAAAATGTTGATTTCAACCTGTAAAGATTTCTAGGCCGCGTCAGTCAGCATGTCTGGAAGCCCCACGTTACAGGAGACAATGCATTTAATAGGAAGAAGGGCAGAGGACGGTGGATACCTTCCTGATAGTTACTTCCAGAGAAAGGCATGCAAGTGTAAGGTTAACGGCAGGAGTCACTTACTCTGTTACAGCGGTGCTGCTGAAGGAATTATCCTGAAGGCTGAAACAGAAACAAGAAAACATCAGCCAAGTCCGGCCGGGGAGCCGTCTCCCTGATTGCTCTCCGGGAGTTAGAACACATACACAAACATGGCATTGCAAGGCAAGTCTCGGGGCTGGCCCGGCACGCTCGCTCTACCTTGGGCTGCTGTCTGCACATGCTCGTAACGACACCCCCAGCAGGGGCCCAGCCGCACCGGCGAACCACAAAGCCCAGAAGCCGGCTAGTCTGCGGGGCCCGAGCGGGGCGGGGCGGGGCGCGGCGGCCCCGGGACCCCGGGATGCAGCCGGGAGCACCTGCAGAGTTCCCGCGCGACCCCCGCCTCGCGCACGATTCACGGCTTGCGGTGGGGACAGCCACCCCAGGGCTGTTCCTACCTAGGTGCTGATTCCCCGGGAGACTTGCCTTCTTGCAGACGTCTCCAACCAATTTGACATAGCTACCTCCCCATCCCCCTCCCCCTCCCCCCTCCCGCCTCCTCTCCTCCCCCCCCAGGGATGGAGGCTTGCAAAGATTCAGCCACCGGTCAGAAAAAGCCGGGAGGAAACTGACAAGGGGGAGAGGGAGACTGCTTGGTTTTGTTTTATTTTTGTTGTGCATTGTTGTTGTTTTTTAATTGCCTAGGAAAAAGAAGTGCCTCTCTGAAGGAGGGATCGCTGCATCACACCCGATCCGTCTGCGCTGTTTCAGTCCCCAAGAGGAAGGGCCCAGCCCCGGACCTGTGAGCTGTGAATGAGCCCACGCGGGGCAAGCAGAGAATTTATTCCAGGCACTAGCTGGTGACCAGCGCACCGCACAGAGGTGGGACTCACTACGCCCAGAGCAGCCTCCCGCCCCGCCCCCAAGCTCTGCTGCTTGCACCTTTACAAAGGATGTAGTGATCCCACCCACAAACGCTATCCGCTTGAATAAAGGCAGCCCTGATGGGGGAAGGGAAGACGTCACCCCCACTTGCGTTATTCCCTTGGGGGTATTTGTCCTGCTCTCTCCCCATTGTTCATCTCTCCTGCCATGTTGACCTTGATAGGGAGTAAACAGTCATGTGTGAAAGACGCTTAATTGAATTTTGAAACAAGAAGAATCCCCCACTCCTTTTGACTTTCTACTTCCCAGAAACAGCTTTGATAGTATCCTTTAGTCCTAATTATATAAACCAAGCTGCTGAACTAAATTACAACCTAAAGAAACCCTCATTTTTTAAATTTTAAAATAATTAGAAAATTTATCCCAAACTTGGAAACAAGAGGGAGAAGTATGACCTTAGAGTGTCACACTGAATCATTGTTTAACAGATCCACCCGAGGGCTAATTCATTCTCTAGAACATACTTGTGTTTGACTTTGCTATTTATTCATATAAATATCAATTAGATCAGATCGCAGCCATGGTAAAGTTACATGCTAATTTGCACTTTTATTCATCTATCCATTAGAAAAGATAACCTCAATATTTATTTTATCTCACTGTAGTATGTTAACAGATTCTTCATCTAACCAATCATTTTACATCTCACCCAACTAACATTCTTGCTAAATGCCTGAAAATATTCTGATTATCAAAATGTCCCTGGAACCAGCTTCACCATGTTAATTTCCTTCATTCACACATGAATAAATTTCTGAGGGTACTTATATTTATTAGAAAATCCTGTTTTTAACTTTTTAAAGTTATACATTGAAAGCTCAAAAATGTATTTTCAAAGAAAAGCAGTTCTCATTAAAGTTCTTTTTACTTTCTAAATATATATTTGGCAGTAGTAGGTTTGAACTCAAGGCTTTGAGCTTATGAAGCAAGAACTCCACCACTTGAGCCATGTCTCCAGCCCTTTTTACTCTGGTTATTTTTGGAGATAGGGTCTTTTCACCCAGGCTGGCCTATTTTATGCTTCCCATTGTCACTGGGATAGCAGGTGTTTACACCATGCCCAACTTTTTTTTTTTTTTCCCTGTTAAGATGGGGTTTTGAAAACTTTTTTTTTTTTTTTAACCAGTTCTCCTTTGGAACTGCAATCCTCCCAGTCTCAGCTTCCCAGGCATAAGCCACTGGCACCTGGCTTCCAAATATTTTGAAATAAACTGAATAAAAGCCTAAAATGGTCTTAGAATTGAATTTTATGGATTATACAAATTTAGAAATATGAATTCCTTGAGTGTTTAAATATATTGCACATATATGTTCTTAAACCACCTTCTGTCTCATAAAGACAATGACAGATATAGCCTCTTCTCTGTATTTATCACAAATTGAGGTCTCTTCTTCCTTTATATCAGATAGTTAAAGCTAACTCTATCAGCATTTTTGGTTTCACAGATTTGAAGGTTGCCAGTTTCCAGAAAGCCCATTTGCTCCTTGGCCATGGCAGGGATTCCAAACGTTCTGAAGTAGAGAAAGATCATACTTTTCTCGTGTAAACATTCTCAATGATCCATTTGGAATAGAAGAGTAATGCCTTCAACTGTGAAATAGAACTTGGACAGGAATATGAAGGAGCCTTTGGAAAAAAAATGAAAAGACAAATATATTCAGTAAATGCATGTATTCAATATTGCCCATAAAGAAATTTTTAAAAAATTCTCAGCAACTCATGAATAGAGAGCACCAAAATTAGGCTTGGGGTATTACTCATGTACAATGAAAACAATTGATTGGTAAAAACAAAAATATCCAAGAAAAAAAAATCCTGACAGTTGGCAGTTTGTAAGAAACCACTTTAGTTTTTACTGCTAAATCAATTCTCAAATTTGTTTTTATCTTAAATTAGGTATAGAAATTGTCTTTACAAGCTTTTGAAAAACGTTTTGTACTGTTCAACTTGGAATACTGATGAGTATCATATGACATAGATTTTTGGAGACAGCTTATCTAAGCTGCAATTCAGAGAGAGTTCAGAAAGAAAAGCAGAAACATTAATATTGGAGCTTCTAAAGAAGTTGTAGACAAGTATATCCCAGAGTAGCAGTTGGAGTCTAGTCTCCTATATGGTCCAGGATTTTTTTTTTAAGTTACTTGACAAAAATAAGTTTTGGAAAGGAGGCATATTTGTATTTCATCTATTTTTAACCAGTGTTCCTCAAATTCATTAAAGACCAAAAATATTTTGGTTAAATATAAGCGGTCTTGAGAACTATTTTTGCCTGTGCTGGCCTTGAACCACTATCCTCCCAATCTTAGCCTCCCAAGTAGCTAGGATTACAGGCATGAGTCACCAGCACCTGGCTGGTTAAATACATCAATTAATATCATGCATAACTTAGGAATTCTGAGAAAACAGTTCCTGAGTGTTTCAGAAAAAATGCAAAATATTTGCTTATTGAACAAATGAATAACCAAATGATGCCACATACTTTAACACTGTGTCCTGAACAAGACACAGTCCCTGTTACCGTACAGTGTTGGTATAAGTATATATTGTAATGTGTAATGCACAGCGTGTATATTACGTGTAGAACTCTAAACAAGCTAAGCAGAGCATGGGGAAAATAAAGATGCAAACATGAATATGGTTACATCACTTACATACTGAAAATGGCAATGTTTTGCTTTTTCTATCAGTGCTCTTAAAACCAATAACTGAATTTCATGTTTAATACCATAATTTCTTTGTTGTAATTGGAATTTTTTAAAGATTGATGTATTAACTTGCTTGCATGCAAAATGTAAAACAACAGGGGCATGCTCAAGAAAGAAGTTTCTAAAGCTGCTAGGGTTCAACACCCACCACGTGCCAGTAGCTCAATTTGGAACAATTGCTTGATGCCTCAATTGTCTCATCTGTAAGATGGAGAGAATGACAATCTACCTCATGGATGCTTGCAAAGATTAAATGACATTCCTGGAACCAACACCATAGCAATCAATAAATGCAAGCTTTGTCGTCATTACTCTTGCTATAAAATAACACAAACAAAGTTTGAGAGATAAATAAAACCACTCCACTTGAGTAACAGATTAACATATGATATTTTCTTTCTACTTCCTATGATGGCACAGTGCTTACATAGCTTTTTTCAAAATTATTTTTAAGAACCATAAACTTTAAACTTTACTAAATGTGAACAGGCTGGAGTGGATGAAATGAGGTCCGTCCAGAATGATTCTGCGCTTACTTTACGGCTCTTTGGTTTAAAATGCTTGCACATCCCTGGAGGAACAGACAATTCTGAGAAATCACTTTCTGTAAGATGCTGGGGCAAGAGGCCAGAATCCTCACAATGCCAGGAAGTCAGCAGAACCCTGCTCTATTGGCCTGGACACTGTGACCTGTAGCTTCCTGTCAGTGCCCTTGGGAGTGATCAGGCCTCCCTGTGAAAAAGAGGAATCTTGCCTGAAAAGATAATTTCCCATTAAAAAAAAATCTCTCTCCCTAACTCTCTGTCATCTAATTCTTTTCTTTGCCAGCCCTAATACTTGACACCTTAACAAAGGGGTCTCATTATCTGAGTGGTCAATATTTGAACTACTTTGAAAAATCAAAGGTGTCCAGGGAAGTAAAGTATTGAAACAAAAATATACACCTGTGGCAGACTGTTTATGGCATTGGTCTCCGTTTAATCAGCCCCCCTTAATTAATGTTAGTTTATACCAAATCCACCTTTGTCTGACAATCTCTCTCTGATTCATCCAACACTAAGATGCAGATACAATGTAAATTGATGATTAACTGAAATTTCAACTCTTAAAGCAGATTCAGAATTCATGAAGTCAATAGAAGGGATATTGAAGAACAACTTGAATCACATTCAAAACCAGTGGCAAGTGAGGTTTTGGTAGTAGCAACCAAAGAGTAAAAACTTACAAATGCAGTGGAGTGTCGATTCAGAAGGGAATGAATTCAATATCAAAGAATTAAGAGTGATCTTTGGAGAAATTTATGAAATTCTTAGTTAATTTTATAAATGTTACCTTTTTATAATTATGCAGTGAGGGTCACATGTGAGGTGAAGTTTATGGAATGTTAACTATTAACATTTTTTTCAGAAAAAAGTATATATGACCCTCTACTGGATAAGAGTTAATCTTTAATTAGTTCACTCTTTCAATTATATTCAGAATGTCAAATAAGAATATTTTTATAATTTCATTATCATGGCCTATTAGATTGTTTGGCTTTGCCTTGGGGAAAACTGAACTTATCTCCATCCACACTGGCCTCCCTGCTATTACAACAGATGAACGTGATCCTGCCCTAGGATCTTTGCATTTGCAGTTCCCTTTGCTGGGAACAACTAGTGTAATGT